AGTACCCTAAAACAGAACATGCATAACGCCGCACACAAAACTAGAATCTGTGGATAGGGTTGGTTTGTGTCGTCGCTTGAAGATGCGTTGGGGGGGGGGGGGGCAGACACAGGCAGAACGCTAGCTGGCGGCGAAACTGGTGCTGCAGCGTTTGATGAGGAATGCTGCATGACAAACTACTGTGTTCGGCAAAGATATTTCCGCCACAGATGACAACGTTGTTATGTTTTGAAGTTCTCCGGTCGCGTCTGGTTGATGGGTGGACTGAGGGGGATGAACGAGTCAATTTTGCGGTCGCACGTGCGATGGCGCGTGTGCGTGCGTTTGTCTCGTTATCATCGTAAGTGGCTGACAGATATGAAAACTCGAAATTCTTTATTGCGCGTGTGTGTTTCTCTAACTTGTCGTCGACGGACGCTGACCGGCTGACCAATGAGAAGACGGGAGTCTTCCAGCGGGACAAGGACCTTGAACACGCCTCATATTGACCTATTTTTTTGTCTTGTGAGCCTGCCCTTACGACACGTAGGGGCCATCTCTCGGTGGACCCGACCACTACGGGTACCGGGTATTGTAGTCAGTCGGTAAACTCGTCGAGACGTTCTTGTTTCGAGGCCGGTCTGTGCTCGGTTACTTGCCGCTCCGGATACCATTCCGGATGCCATTCCGGATGCCATTCCGGAACGGTCCTATTCCCACGGTCGCCTATTTAGTTTTTTTCCTCGGGTGATGGCCTTGTCCCCCTATCCCCGTTTTATCTTACTTCCCCAGCTTCCCACAAACAAAGGCGAGCTTACGAACAGCCTTTCCCTTTCCTCCCCCCGTGGTCTTCCTACCCCTTTTGCGCCCGCCGCCAGGGAGGATCGAGCGAGGGCGACGAGGTGGCCGCCCTGGAGGCCAAGATCGAAGCCGCCGGCCTTCCGCCGGAAGCCTCCAAGGTCGCCAAGCGAGACCTGTCGAGACTCAAGAGGATGCAGGCCTCTCAGCCGGAGTACACGGTACGCGCTTGCGCTCCCCCCGGCTGTGTCCTGTTTGTTGCTCGCGCTTGCATGCCACTGCAGTTGGAAAGCCGGGGGTGCTGAAGGTTGCGGTCCGGCCGGTGCCGGCTCCCTCGGGTGTGCTTTCGTGGTACCAAGTCCGCCGTTGTCTTGTATGTCGCTCATGACGACGCGGGTTCTTAACGGCAAGACCTGGCTCTCAAGGCGTTCACCACCGAAATGGAAACCTCGTGCCGTCGCAAGCAGTCTTGACAGCTATCCGCTGGTGCTCGTTCTCTTATCTTCCTCCCCTGCCCCAACTTGTCTCAATCTCGGCGACAAACCCCGGTTGGTTCCCGTGGGGAACGTGCGCGCTTATTTTGCTCTCAGGTTATTCGGACGTATCTGGAAACCGTGTCGGAGCTGCCGTGGAACCGGGTGTCGGAGGAAACGTACGACATCCGTCGCGCGCAACGACAGTTAGACAAGGACCATTACGGGCTCAACAAGGTATACCTGCCGTTCGTCCGTTCACATGACCTTGGTGGTGGTGGTTCAGCTCCTGCTGCTGTCGGGAATAACTTTCAGTGTCGATAAGTTTACACCGCGGCGTGGTTGGTGGTTGTGGATTGTTTTGGGGGTCTAGGCGAGAGGTGAGGTTCAAAGGAGGGGGTGTTCCCGTTTATTCGTGTGTCTGCTCTTTTTGGCATGTTCATCTGTCTAGTACATAGGGCGTTTGTTTCGTTTCCTGTCCGTGAGATCGGCGACGTGTTGGCCTGTGATACAGGCCGAAAGTGCCAGCATTGTGTCATCACACCATCACAACCCCCTCCAACTCTCTCTCTCTCTCTCTCTCTGTCTCTCTCTCTCTCTCTGTCTGTCTCTCTCTCTCTCTCCCTGTCTTTCTCTGCTCTCCCTTTCCCTGTCTCCCTCTCCCTCTCCCTCTCTATCTCTCTCTCTGTGTCTCTCTGCTCTCCCTCCCCCTCTCCCTCTCCCTCTCCCTCTCCCTCTCCCTCTCCCTCTCCCTCTCCCTCTCCCTCTCCCTCTCCCTCTCCCTGTCTCTCTATCCCCCTCTCCGTCCTGTGCCTCTACGCGTAGGTGAAGCAACGCATCGTGGAGTACATCGCCGTGCGGTCTCTCCTCTCGGACAGCAAGGGCTCCATCTTGTGCCTCGTCGGCCCCCCCGGTGTCGGAAAGACGTCGTTAGGACGCTCCATCGCTGCCGCCCTCAACAGAAAGTGAGATACATCCTCCTACTATTCATGGACATGTCTCGCTGTGTAGCGTGCAGCATAGGATATGCTATTGTGTTTGTCATATTGAAGTGTATACTTTTGGTTGCGTTGGGTTACATTATGTATTGTGGCGTGCGTGTAGCAGGATACGATAGGATATATAGGTTTTGTCGCCAACGAAACTTGGAGTATTTTTGTTTTCGTTGGGTGCATGCTGAAAGCTTTTCAGCTATCGTAGTGGTAGCGTGGTGTCCCCAAGAAGGGGGAAGCGTTCTTGGGAGTCAGGTGACAATGCAGCAGTCTGTGGCAGCGTCTGTGATAAGGGAAACCTGCTGAAGATAGATAGATGGATGCCTGTGCGTGGTGGAACATGGTTGCATCTTTCGACTATCGTCACGTTTTGTGTTGTTTGCGTGTGTGCGTAGGCACGTAGCGGAGGGTATCGCTTGCTTTTGTGCCCTTGTGCCTATCGCGCTTCCCCGAGCATGACGCACACCACTCAGAAAATCCGCGGGCACCAAACCAACAAAGACACCCCGGGTCCGAACATGAACCTCGAATAACGCGTGCTTGTCCGCGGAACGGGGACAGGTTTCAACGGCTGTCACTCGGAGGCGTGCACGACGAGGCCGAGATCCGAGGCCACCGTCGCACGTACATTGGTGCCATGGTGAGTCGGCGCCGGTTGCGGTTGTAGCGATGCTGATTTGCTGCCATCGTTGTTGTTGTAAACCGCTATGATGTGCAAGCCAATGAACAGGCAGGGAGCGTTCGCGAGGGTCACTCCAACTCTACACTACCCGCCACTTTGGCGAACTAATGACGGGCGCATGTCGTGCAAAATTCTCCGATGACGAACAAGTACAGGGCGATAAAAAAAATAGTGTCATGTAGATTCAGATGAAGTCGACCCTACTCATTGCAGGCGGCGAGGCAAAGATATACACGCACACGCGCCACGCTAAAGAGCATGGAAACAAATTGCGCAGGAGAGAGGGAATTTTTAATGCGGAGTTCTGCTCCGCAAGCGCTCAACACGAAGAAAACGAAAGCCCCGCGACGTACTCGACTTTCTCATGGTACTACTTTGGACAGAAGATGCATCGTTTCTACAGAAGAGGCATCTTTGTCAGGTTGTGACGGCGTTCTTCGGCGCGAGTCCGTGGGAGCCAAGCCTACCCGGGAAGCAGGTCCTCGTTCGGCCGCCCTCCAGCCCGCTGTGTTGGCCATCTCGGCGGCCGCGCTGTCGTTTGCCTTGACCTGCTGTGTGTTGTCTGGGGGTCGTCGGCCTACGGCTTGGCAGGGGACGGTGAAGCGCCTATTGGTAGGGGTTTCGGCGGTCTGGCTCAGGTGGAACTTCCGGCATTTCTTGGAGGGAGCCACCAAAGCGGATGCTTGCCGTGGAGCCTTGCTTCCAGCGTATGGATGACGTCGGGCGGGGGAAAGAATCGAAAGGGGGCGGGCTTTCGTGGGGGCTTTTTTATGGCACTAGCGGAGTCGTCCGGGATGAGGTCTCCCCCCTCCTAACAACACGGTGGCATTGACGTGTTTGTAGTGGCTGGGGGCAGCTTCGAGTAGCGTCCGACGGAATCTATCGCGGTACAGGTGGTGGCGCTGGTAGCGATGATTGCAGCCGTTTTGGTGCAGGTTTTCCAGTGATCGCAATGGCATCTCGGAGATGTCACTGCGATCACTGGATACACTTCCCCAAGACGACTTCATTCATCGTCGCCAGCGCGGCCACCGTTATGGTACCGCGATAGAACCCGTAGGACGCTGAACGGAGCTGCCCCCGGCCACGCCACACCTGCACCGCAGGTGCGGCATCGGGCAGCACACTTACGTCATCGCCACAGTGTGTTGGGAGGCGGGAGACGTTATCCCGGACGATGACCCCCAACCCGCCTGCCACGACACCCCCACGAAAGCCCGCCCCCTTTCGAACCTTCCCCCGCCCGACGCCATCGATACGTTGCATGCAAGACCCCACGACAAGCATTCGCCTTGGCTCCCTCCAAGAAATGCCGGAAGTTCCTCCTGAACCAGACCGCCGAAGCTCCCACGAAGAGGCGCTTCACCTTCCCTTTCCGAGCCGAAGACCGACGACCCCCAGACCACACAGAAGGTCAAGGCGAACGAGAGCGCGGACGCTAAGGTCGCCAAGACAGTCGGCGGGAGGGCGACCGAAGCAGGATCTGCTTCTGGGTAGGCTTGGCTCCACGGACCCGTGCCAAAACGCCATCGCAACTTTGCAAAGATGCACGATGCCTCGCTTGTCCGAAATAGTAGCACGAGAAAGCCGAGCACGTCGCAGGGCTTTCGTTTTCTTCGTGTTGGGCGCTTGAGGAGCAGAACGCCACGTTAACGTTTGCTCCCTGCCCGTTGCGCAATTTGTTTCTGTGCTCTTTGACGTGGCCTACGCACGTGTGTGTAGATCTTTGCTTCTTCGCTCCCGATGAGCAGGG